GAGGGGACATCCTTCCTTAGTTCCTCATTTTACTGGTAAAGCACTGAGTTTCTCACCATTAACTATGATACTAGCTGTTGGTTTTTATAGATAATCTTTATCAAGTTGAGAAAGTTCCTCTCTCTTCCTAGTTTACTGAGTTTTTATCATAAATGGGTGTTGGGTTTTGTCAAATGCTTTTTCTGCATCTATTGATATGATAATGTGATTTTTCTGCTCTAGCATATTGATGTGTGGTAGATTACATTAACTGATTTTTGAATGTTGAACCAGCCTCACATACCCAGGTTAAATCCCACTTGGTCTTGGTATGTAATTTTTTTATACTTCCCTGCCTTATCTGAGTCTGGTTCTGATGCTTGATCTCTCTCTTCCAAGTGTGTTTTTTGCCTTTGAGGATGCCTTGTAATTTCTTCTTGATAGCCAGACATAATGTACTAGGTCAAAGGAGTTGCTGTAAATAGGCCTTTGTAAGGTGTGGGAGGAGGGGAAGCATTTTATAGTCCTGTGATTAGATCTGTCTTTTAGTGAGCCTTTGCCTCTGGACTGTGAACTTCACATGTGTTTCTTGGTTTTTTTCCTCCCTTTAGGTGGGACAGGATTACTAGAGTGGGCTGGAGTTGGGTAATTCCCTTTCTCCATTTGGAAGGCTAGAACTTAAGTTGGGTATTTCCATTTCTGCAGGTCTATTAGGCTCTGATGGAATAGTTTCTTCTAAGGGCAGACCTTGTTAAGAGGAACAGAATGTGTGGCATGTTTCAAAATGTTTCCTTTTCCCCTCCCCCTGCCAGAAGCACCAGGGGCTTTTTCTGTAAAACTTTCTTTTCTTTTCACTGTAAGAACCTGGTAGAGATCCATGAGGTAAGACTCAAAAAAGTGTAGGGGCCCCTTCAATGACTTTCTCTTTCTGGAGTTTTTAACTGTCAGCATTTGTCCACACTCAGCTTCCAGCAGTAAAAACTGACAGAATTGAAAGAATCAGTAGAAATTCAACATTTACAGTTGGAGATTTCAAAACTCTGCTCTCAATAATCAACAGAACCACTAGACTGAAAAGTTTGTAAAGATAAAGCTTGAAAAGTGCCGTCAACCACTTTGATCTGATATATCTTTTTTCATACTTAACAGATCATTCTCCAGGATAGAGCATATTGTAGGCTGTAAATCAGGTCTCAGTAAATTTAAAAGGATTGAAATAATTCAAACTTTGTTCTTTGAGTATATTGGAATTAAATTATAAATTAATTCCAGAAAGAAATGTGAGAATTTAATCAACACATTTGTAAGTGACTCATAATTCAAGGAAGAATTGATAAGAGAAACTAGAAAATGTTTTGAAATTAATGAAAATGAACATGTCAAAATTTATGGGATTAAACTAAAGCATATTAGAGGGAAATTTATACCACCTTTCTGAGAAAAGAAGAATGTCAATTCAGTTATCTGAAGTTTCCATCTTAAGAATAAAAGCAAAGTAAGCTCAAAACAAACACAAGTACAGTTCAAGTAGAAATCAAGTAGAAATAAAAACCAGAAAAACGTTAGGAGAAAAATAAAATGGAGAGTTGATTCTTTGAAAAGGTCAAGAAAATTGATAAACCTTGAGTTAGGCTGACCATTTAAACAAGAGAAGACACAGATTACCAGAATCAGGCATGAAAGAGGGGATGTTACTATCCTGCAGAAATTAAAAGTATTACTAGGGAATTTTATGAGCTGCTTTATAGCAATAAATTGGGCAAATCTTACAAAGATGTACGTTACCCTAAATAGACTAAAAAAGAAATGGAAACTTTAAATATACTTATAAAAAGTAAAGAAATTAAGGTAATAATTAAGTATATTCCCACAAAGAAAAGCCTAAGCCCACAGGGGTTTACTGCTAAGTGTTTTCAAATATTTAAAGAAGCATTGTTACATATCCTGTGCAAACTCTTTTGGAAAAACTACTACTACGACTAGTCTACTGAGGGAACACTTTCAACCTATTTTATAAGTCCAGTATTACTCTGATACCGACACCAGACAAAGACATCACAAGAAAACTACAAATTCTCTCTCATGAATGTACATGCAGAAACTGTTGCAAACCAAAATAACAGCAAACCAAATCTAGGAATATATTGAAAGTATTAAACATTGTGACCAAGTTGGGGCTATCCTAGGAACGCAAGGAGGGTTAGCGTCCATAGATAATATACTCTTGGTAAAATAATGGACACAACCTACATAATCCTTTCAATAAATACAGAGAAAAACATTTGACAAGATCCTAAACCTGTTTATGATAAAACCTTTGAACATCTAGACATATAGAAGGAAACTTCTATTACTGTGAGAATTTTACACTTTCCATTTTTGCATTGATACATTTCTAAATAATTTTTGTGAATGGTGTTATATAAGATCTTTGTTTTGTTTTCTGTATTGATACCTGGTGGTTTTATCACCATTTATAGAAAATATTATTTTTTCCCTCTTTGAATTCCCTTGGCACTTTTGTTAAAAATCGGTTGAACATATATGTATAGGTCTCATTTTGTTCTCTCTATCCTGTTTCATTGATATATAAGTTGATTTGATGCCATACCATTTTGAGTATGCTAGCTTTATAGTTTATCTTGACATCTGATAATATAAAATATTCCAATTTGTTTTCCAAAATTGTTTAAGCTATTTTAGGTTCTTTACATTCCATGTAAATTTTAGAATCATTATGTCAGTTTCTCTGAGGCAGCTTTCTGACTGCTTTGAATCCATAGAACAATTCAATCCAAAAACAGGATATATCTCATTGTATTTGGGTCATCTTTAATTTCTCTTGGCAATGTTTTGTAGTTTTTTTAATTTGTAGTTTTCTAAGAGTCTACATATTTTGATAAATTTGTCACTTAAGTGTTTCCTGTTTTTAGTGGGATTAAATGATTTTTTTTGATTGTTGCTGATATATAATAAGACAATTGATTCTAGGGTATTGAGCTTGTATCCTGCAATCTTGCTAACTTCACTTAATTCTGGTAGCTTTTTACAAAACAGAATTCATAGAATTTACTTAATACAATCCTGTCATTTACAGTTGAAACATTTGTCCTACCTTTCTTATATAAACTGTTGTTCCAGGAACACAAATAGTTTATGAAGGAGTATGTTTGTTTATATAGGAATGACAGAATTAGAAAATACCTTTTTCAATAGCCCTGTTAACGCTTTAGATCTAGGCAGTGATCAGAAATGGAAGCTAAAACTAATAGGTGAAAAATTGAGAGGAAATTTTATAATCATATATCAAGTTGACACTGTCTGAAGCCACTCACCAATTTTAACACTACTAAAAAATGGTACAACTAGATATTATGTATCTGTATATGTGATGTGATAAAACATTCCACTAGCTCTTTTTTTATAGCTTCTGTTTCTCTTTATCATGTTCATATTTATCTCTACTTTCTTGAACATTTGGAGTGCATGTAGAAATAGCCATTTTAATGTTCTTGTCTGTTCATTCCCTCACTACTGGCAGTTCTGGGTCTGTTTTTATTGATTGGTTTTTCTCTTGGTTATGGATCATGTTTTCCTGTTTTTTTGCATGCCTCTTTTTTATTTTAATTGTGAATTTTATGTTGCTGGGTTCCAGCTTTAGTTGTATTTCTTTAGGATAGCATTGGACTTTCTTCTGACATGCAGTTTAGCTACTGGGATCCATGTGATCATTTTGAGTCTTATTATTATATTTATTTGAGCAAGTCCAGCACGTTTTTAGTGTGGGACTATGTATCACATTACTAAGGCAATACATTTCTGAGGACCCTGCCCAATGCTCCATCTATTATGTGGTCTTTCCACTCTGGCTTTTAGTTGGTTTGTTCTCACATATTCATAGTATTGACCCAAAGACTCAAGAGAATCTTTCTGAAAATCGCCACACTGCATACGTGCTCTCACATGTGCTCTCTCATGCACATTCTTGTTCTCTCTTTCTCACTCTCTCTGCTGCTCACTCCTTTCCTGTACTCTGCCCTGTAAATTTTAAGGATTTTCCCCATTACCCACGCCCCAAAACTGTCTCTGTCTCTTCAATTCAATAAGATTGTCAGGCTCTCATAGGCTTCTCCCTTCTTGCATTGTAGCATAGAGGTTGCCTGTAGGTAGTAAAATGGGATATTGTATGGGTCATCTTAGTTTTTAAATTTTCTTTCTGAGGGATCACAGCCCTGTCCTGCCTGTTTTCCAATGTCTTGAAACTGTTGTTTTATGTATTTTCTCTGATTTTCTAGTTTTTTCAGGTGGGAGAGTAAATCTATTCCCCATTACTTCATCTTGAATAAAAGCAATCTCTTAAAAATTTGCTTTTAATTATTTTATGTATTAGATGATATGAGAGTTTGTTTTGGGAAACACAAACAAAAATGCACTTCTACTTAAGAAAAAACAAGTGATTTTTTTGTTATATACAAAAATAATTTCATTTGGATTTTGATTAGGATTTTGTTGTAAACTAATATTTGTATATAACCTTATACTTTCTAGAGAATTGATATTTTTATAACATTGAACTGCTTCATAAGAGTACACGATATATCGCCTTTATTCAAGCCCTATTTCTAGTCCATTAATAAAATTGTATAGTTTTTTATAAATGACTGTTATATATGGCTTACTCTTTATTAGGTGTGTTAATTCAACTTATTGTTTGATGTTCAAAATTCGAGATTAGGCAGGTATCTTTTATAGTCAATTTTAGAGACTAAAGGAAGAAATTTTAAAAGAATTTTCACACAGAACTGCATTGAGATCATTTACTATATCTGGGCAAGTAAAAGGGAAATACTGTGTTTTGCTTTTTTTTTTTTTAAGAAAACCTTATTTTATTAATACAGGTGTTAGGATCATAATTTCTTGGTTAACATCTAGGGTTTTTTGGGTTGTTGTTCATTATTTTCCTATATTGATATATTTTGTTTGTAACCTTTGCTAAAGAAATTGTTTTTCTGTTTTTGTAGTTTTGGTAAGCAGTTTGGAGGAAAAAGAGGATGTGATTGTCTTGTGTTAGAGCCTTCAGAAATGATTGTGGTAAGAACTTTAAAGAATGCTGAATTGTTTTTTGAAATTCTTCAGTTTCAACTTTAAATGTAGTAGGCTTTTAAATACTCAAGGACGTTCCATTACTGTGACTTTTTAAACATTTTACTGAATAGCATCAGAACCATGTGCCCAGTTTGATACATTTTCATCTACTTTAATTTTTTTCTGATTCTTGAGAGAATTTGAAACATGATACAATTATATAGAACATGTTCCACATTTGCTAATTTCTTTTACTACTTCTATCAGAAATTTTAAATAAAGGCTTTTTAAAAAGGCACCCTGATTTTTCAAGTGTTTTCTCTTTTCCTATTCAATTTAGTTAATAATCTTTGAGCACCATATTCTGTGCCTTGAACTTGAGGGAAAGAGATAGGAAAAAAGAGACACAGTTTTATCAAGTAAGAAATAGTTTAGTTCTTAATATTTTTAAGAGTGTAGTTAAGAAATAATTCTTTACTTTTTCCTGAGAAAGCTAAGGTAGTTGATGTAACTTTAGAAAATCTGCCTTTTTTGTTTTTTTTAAGCAATAGAAGAATCAAGAACATAGCTCTCTTTTACCTTGTTCTGAGATGACCTTACTAGAAAATAGCTTATCCTGAATGGACTCATTGTCCTACTAGCATCTCATGTAGATGATCATGTCATTTGATTTGATTTAAACTATTGAGAAGGGAGGTTGAATTCTTAATGAAGCGTTTTAATGTCAGGGCTCCAAACTAAACCACTTTTCCACTTCATGGTGCTGCAGTTAGATTGACATCTTCAAGCAGTTTCTGTTTTCTCTTCCTCAAACTTGATCATCTACATTTTCATGAACTCAATGTCCTAAATTTCATATAAACAACTGGATTTTAGCTCCTAAAAGGTGAAGATTATGTCTATTCAGTTGATGTCTTCCATAATATTGCACAGTGCTGCCTGCATTGTAAACATTCAGTAGATGTTGCTTGAACTCATTTGTTTAAGGCTTGGACTATGTACTTTATGTTTATTTTCTTTAAGTATTGGTATACATGGAATATCTATTAAGGCCTGAGAACTCTCTTTTAAATAAATGTGTTGAGGGACATGGCAAGAAAACTGCCTCAGGCAGTACTGGTTTTTTCATTTCATTGTCATGATGTATTTTGTATTTCTCATACTTTCTGGGAAAAGAATTGTGTGTTTACGTCAGTGTTCTCATATACATCGTTGTTTTGTTTTATTGTGGTAAAGTACACTTAACATAAAGTTCACTATCTTAACCATTTTAAGGGTGTGGTTCAGTGTATTAAATTATTTAATTAATTATTAAATTAATTTTCCCTTTAAATTAAAGGGAAAGCTTTTTCCTTGCCCCAAATCTGGAGTCAGCCTTTTATCTAAGGAGATCTGCCTGCTTTTAGTGGAGAATTGTTTTTAGAAACCGCAATCTGGCTGCCAAGTTGTTTTCTTTGCACCAGGTGCCTCATTGCTTATAGGCCCTCTCAGTGAACATTGCTAGAAAAGGTATGTCTGCGTGTATGTATGCACACACACTTACATATACACGTCTGCATTTATTTCTTTATATCTGTATGTCTATGTTGAAAACCCAGAGTGTATTCTGGCTGTCCCTTTTTGCTTATTTGTGCTTCCTTTCTCTAACAGGGAGAAACATGGTTTCTGTTATCATCAATATGTTTACTTACATATAGGGGAGTTTAAGAATTGCTTGCCCTAACATTGTAGAAAGTGCTACTAGCTAGAGTAGTAACATACACAAATACATGTATTTTAAATGTACAATTTGTTGGGATTTTACAAATGTATATCCCTGATAACTCACCTCCCTATTGAAATATAAAATATTTTTATCACCCACTCTATAAAGTAAGGAAATATGCAGAAAATTATAGAGACCTGGCAAAAGGACAGAGGAGCCAGACTGAAAGGACTGCCGTTGGCCAAATCTGGGACAGTTTGAGTATCCAAATAAAAATTGGTAGTAATTGACGGTACCTCATGTATAATATAAGAATTTATATTGGGGCTGGCCCCGTGGCTGAGTGGTTAAGTTCGCGCACTCCGCTGCAGGCGGCCCAGTGTTTCGTTGGTTCGAATCCTGGGCGCGGACATGGCACTGCTCATCAAACCACGCTGAGGCAGTGTCCCACATACCACCATTAGAAGGACCCACAATGAAGAATATACAACTATGTACCGGGGGACTTTGGGGAGAAAAAGGATAAAATAAAATCTTTAAAAAAAAAAAAAAAGAATTTATAAATCCTACTGATATGAATGAGTGAATGAACAAATGAATGAGGGAGAAGGGAAAGTTCCTCCTGATAGTCGAATGTCAGCCAGTAAATCTAGGAGGAATGATTAAGTTAGAATATCATTAATGAACGCTAAAACTTGTGGCTCTTGTTTGGTGAGAAATAGAATACTTACATAGACTCAGAGTATCTCCCCACAAATCATTTATGAAGGGAAAAATAACCAAATTTCAGATGGGGAAACCTGGAGGATACCACTATACCCAAAATTATCATTACCACCATCAATATGGGCACAAACTGATGTTTTACTGCTCGTCATATGATCCACTGAGGACAAAACATCACCTGTATGATATATTCCTGCCAGAAATGCATACCTGAATCTAATCATTAGGAAATATCAGACAAATCAAATTGAAGACATTCTACAAATTGACTGGCTTATACTCTTTAAATATCCCAATGTCAGTGAACACACAGAAAGACTGAGGAACTGTTCTAAATTAAAGGAGAAAAAAAAGAGATATAACTAAATACAGTGCTTGATCCTGTATTAAATTGGGGGCCAGGGAAGTTGCTATAAATGATGTTGTTGGCACAGTTGATGAAATTTGAATATGGAATATAGATTAGATAATAGTGAATTTCCTGATTTTGATAACTACTCGGGTTATGTAAGACAAAGTCCTTGTTCTTAGGAAATAAATATTGACATATTTCAAGGTCAAGAAATGCTCTTGTCTTCAGTTTATATTCAAATATTTCAGAAAAAAATTTGCATTTGTGTATATAAAATTTAAAAATGGCCAAAAAGTCACATCAAGTATATATAGTTAGGTTTGGTAATTTTTAAATTTCACTACTGCATTTTATTGATGAGCAGTATAGTGAAAAATGCTTTGAGTTATAGGAGAAAATAATCCAAAATAATAGTAAGATTCTTACTTCTGAGATTTCTGAAGGATTTATTGTTGTTTCATCATATTAATGAATCTTCAATTTTTTTTTTTTTGGTTTTTCACCATTGTTATCTTTTGAAGTACAAAACTGTATTGAACGTTTTGTACCAGTACAGATCTTTTGTACTGCTGTGTATTTTTTAGATGAAATTATTTAGAATTCATAAAAATGCTTGGTCCGAGTGTATATTCTTAAAAGTACACGTTTACTATTTTGATAAGTTCCATCATATGGTTTTATTATGTGTGTGTTTGTACAAATTTGAATAAATCCACTGGTGATTGTGAATGCCTGTTACTGAACACCTTCATGATCACCTAATAAATTAATCATGTAATTTGACACGTTATAAGGAACTCTCCCTGTTTTAACTTACTTCTGTGTATTCTCATATGCTTTATGGGGGATTTGTTTTTCTTCTTATTCATATCTCTTGCCAATTTTTCTACTTGGATTATTTGTTTTATTGTTTATTCATAAGTTATTTCTCTTACTAAGTAAATGAGCCTTTTGTTTATAAGCGGCTGTAAATTTATCAATTTTTAACTTTATATCTAAAATGAGTTTCTTTATATCTAAAATGGGTTTTATCAGTTAATTTTTCCTTTGAACTATTGAGATTTATTCCTCTTCTGACTTTTTGGTTTGAGGTCATGCTTATTTAGAAAGACTTTCCCCATGACAAGATTATTGACCTTTTAAGCTGTATTGCTTTATAGAATTTTACTAGTCCATTATTTTCATTTAACTTGTAAGTCTCACCTGTTAAGCGTAGCTGAAGACAATGGTAATCACTTGACTACCTGTCTCCCAGTGTTTCCTCCAAAAACAATGCAGAATTACAAGAGAGGGAAAAGAAATCTACACATAAACCGTGCTTACAGCATAACTTGAAGACAAAATGTTCAAACTTGAAAATAATTGTAAATAAAAAGACAGAAACCGCCAATTCCCAGCATGTGATCTCTCACACTCTGTCTCTACTCTCAACCCTCAGCAAGACTTTGTGCTGAGCAAAGGCTGACCCAGCAGATCTGCAGAAAACACAGAAGATGGAAGCTAGTAAGTGGAAGTACAGTTGACCTGTACTGCCAGAAAGACTAACTCCACACTAAGTTTAAAATTAAGTGTGTGTGTGAGTATGTGTATGATAGATCAGAATAAGGACTACAGGGAAATTATTTAAAATTATGAGTGATTTGCAGAATTGGCCCTCTAAATTAGTTTTCTGAACATGTAGATTCAGGGTTAAGACAGAAGGTAAAAAGGAAACAAGCTCGCTTTGGTATTTAAGTGCTGATGAAAAAAGGAAGCACGTGGGGAAGTTTTAGGTCGCTGCAAGACAAAGTAAAAACAAAATCAAGATCTTAAAATCCCTCCTCCCACCAGCAAAACAAAAAGAACAAACAAGTATCCTAAAATATCTGGACTTCAAAGTCTGACAAAAGAGGGTGCTATTAAACTAGGAATCTTGTAAAACATCCTAATACCACAAAAAGATAAAAAGGGAAGATTAATAAATCCATATATAGCTGTAACAAAAATATATGAAAATGAGATTCATTACATATCACCTGGGGAAAATTCCTCCCCACCTCAGAAAAGAACAGTGCAGATGAAAACTGTGACACACTGCAGACAGAGTTGGTATATTCAATCAAGCTTTTGAGGATATGTAAAAAACATGTAGAATCAGAAATTCAAACACCAAAAAGAAGTAGGCCAACAAAGGGAGGGGGGTAGTAAAAAGGGTATTAACTCAGTAAAGAAATGGAATACAAT